CTGTGTGGTGAGGGTATCTCTGTGGGCCCTGGAGCAGCAGATGTGCAGAGCAAGACCTGAAAGTGAGTGGTAGCAATGGTGCCGACCACAGGCCAAGGAGCCTCTCTAGGCGACCATCCACTGTAGCGAAGGCAAGCGAAACCCACATCCCTAGGGTACAGCAATCCTGAGGGGTGGAGAGAAGACACAATACCTCCATTTTTTTAAAAGAATGAAATCTGGGGGGTGGGGGAGGGGGAAAAAGAGAGCTAATTTCTCACCAGGTTGTCTGTCCTTCCTTCTAAAAGCCAAGCAATATGCTCTGTCCTGTAGAATGTTCAGAGAAGAGGAGTTCTCTGCCTACGAGGGCCTGACAGGGCTCCCCTGAATAAAACAAAACCAAACCTGACTAGACAAAGTCATTTCTGAAGAGGCAGAAGAGACCCGGGGCCCACCTTTCAAGTTTCCACATCATCCTCTTTATCAGTCCAGAGGTCACAAACCTTCAGGCCAGATTTGGAAAGATTTACTAGCCTAAGGTATTTGGCCTTTATTCACCTGGCAGGAGAAAGGAATTGAATTTTTATATTTAAAAAAAAAAAAAAAAAGGGATGAGATTAGATGACTGGGGGAAGCAGGGGGAACCAAGCAGGAAACTTAAATGAGTGAAGAAAGCTGGGTGTGAGACAATAGGAAGTGGGACCAATATGTGGGGACTATGGCAGCTGGAGAGACCATCGAAAGGGGACAGTCAGACCCCGCTGGCATGGCTCAGTGGGTGAACATTGACCTATGTACCACAAGGTCACGGTTCGATTCCTGGTCCGGACACATGCCTGGGTTGCAGGCTCGATCCCCAGTGTGGGGTGTGCAAGAGGCAGTCGATCTATGATTCTTTCTCATTATTGATGTTTCTATCTCTCTCTTCTCTGAAATCAATAAAAATATATTTTAAAAAATACAAATAAATAAAGGGGACCGTCAGCTCTTGCCCATTGCTACCATGTGGGACTTGAACACCCTGTGTTGCCAGAACTTCAGATTTTCCCAGAAAGGCTAGAAAATATGGATTTTTTTTTTTTAGACCAATTCTCTCAGTTTTTAAAAGTTAGCAACAAACTCAGTTATTTTTCGAATTGCAGTGCAGATGGACACTGTAAGGGTGAAACAAAACTTCCAAGGGAAATTCTGGCTTCTGCTCACCTCTCTGGCTGGATTTACATTTTCTTATTTTTCTGCCTCTGAGCAGTATCCTCTTCCTACCAGCTCAGTCTTGCTGTAAAAGCATGTTTTTGATAGTTTCTCCAGCATCTCTGGGATTTTTTACTTGGCAGACTTCTCCAGAATCTAGTCTGTTATGTTATTGGAAACATGACACTTACTTTTCTTTCTTCGTTTTCCAGCGGTCTCCCAGAACCTTTTGCTCATCCTATTTCCTCTTCCTCGTTGACTTTCATCACCTTCTCCTCCACTTGCTAAGACGTACTGCCTATTATAGACAGAATTCTAAGAATGCCCCCCCAATTCCTAGCCTCTGCTGCATGCATATTTTCTCCCAGTTATTCAATAAAACGCTAATCTGTGAGAGGATTTTGCAGATGTAATTAACATCCCAAATCAGTTGACTTGAAAATTAGTAGATTATCTGGGCTTGACTTAACCCCCTGAGGTTTTCAAAAGCAGAGAGTTTTGCCTGATTGGTAGCAGGAGAGAAAGTCACAGAGCTGTGCTCAGGCTGGCCTGGAAAAAAAGCAAACACATGCTGTGAACTTCCCATGGGGCTACACAGCTGGCGAGGAATTATGGGCAGCCCTTAGGAGCTGAGGGTGGTTCTTGGCTGACAGCTAGCAAAAAACTGAGGACTTCAATCCTGTAACTGCAAGGAAATAAATTCTGCCAAAACCAGTGAGCTCGAATGAGGACCCTGAACCCACATAAGAACTGCAGCCCTGGCCATGATTTCAGTCATGTGAGAGCCCAAGCAGAGAATCCAGTCACAGTGTACCCAGACAAACTGTGAGATAATCGATGTGTGTTGTTTCAATCTGCTGTACTTGTGGTAATATATTACACAGCATTAAAAACAAATACAGCCTTAAACTAATATACCTACCAATATATCTACCTTATTCCTCAAGGACAAATTCAAGTTTCAGCTGTTAAAAAAATAACAGCAAAATGGAGTTGGCATTGCCAAGAGAGCAGTCTAAAATGGAATCAGGAGGCCTCTGGGAAGCTGAGCTAACTCAACCCCTCAAAAAGCCACATCCTCATACAGTTTCTGGAACTGACCCTTATCAGACGTATCCTTGGCAAATATGTCCTTCCGTTCAATGGGTTATCTTTTCATTTTGTTGATAATTTCCTTTGCTGTACGAAATCTTTTTAGTTTGATGTAGTCACATTGTTTATTTTGTCCTTTGTTGCCCTTGCTTCAAGGAATGTTGGAGATTTTACTGCCTGTGTTTTCTTGTAGAATTTTTATGGTTTCAAGTCTCACATTTAAATCTTTAATCCATTTTGAGTTTATTCTTTCTTTTAATAGTTTATTGATTTTTAGAGAGAGAGGAAGGGAGAAGTGAGAAACATCGATGTGAGAGTGCAACATTGATTGGCTTCCTCGAACACCCTCTCCTGGGGATGAAGCCTGCAATCTGGTATGTGCCCTAACCAGGAATTGAACCACCAACTTCTCGGTGTATGGGACAATGCCCAACCAACTGCGTGACACTGTCCAGGGCTTGAGTTTATCCTTATATAAGGTGTAAGAAGGTGGTCTAATTTCATTTTTTTGCATGTATCTGTCCAATTTTCTCAACACAATTTATTGAATAGATTATCTTTATCCCTGAGGATGAAAAGGGGCCACATGTTGACCTGACTAGCTTGGGAAGGTCTGTGTGGCAGCCTTGCAAACTCAGAGATCTAAAGTAACCGCAAAGGGGTACTGAAATTAAAACTTTAACTAAAACTTTAACTAAAAGCAATCTATGGGGGTTAGTCATGTCTTAGGTCAGTCTTCCCTGATAAAGATCAGCTTTGATCTTAACTGAGCCTATTGTCTTTTTGCATCTATGATAACATACCTTTGGAATGTCAGGGTAACTCCCCTTTTTCTGGACCCCTCAGGGCAGAGGCCACAAATTCCCTCATTGTTATTGTTATCTTGTTAATTGTTGATTGTTTATTTTAAATCTTTATTGTTGAGATTATTACAGTTGTTCCTCTTTTTTCTCCCCATAGCTCCCCACCACCCAGTTCCCACCCCACCCCAGGCCCTTGCCACCCTATTGTCTGTGTCCATAGGTACTGCATACATGCATATAAGATCATTGTCTAATCTCTCCCCGCACCCCCCACCCCACATCCCTTTCCCTCTGAGAATTGTCTGTCTGTGCCATTTCCATGCCCCTGATTCTATTCCATTCACCAGTTTATTCTGTTCATTTGATTACTCATTTGATTTTTAGATTCACTTGTTGATAGATATGTATTTGTTGTTCATAATTTTTTATCTTTACCTTTTTCTTCTTCCTCTTCTTAAAGAATACCTTTCAGCATTTCATATAATACTGGTTTGGTGGTGATGAACTCCCTTAGTTTTTTCTTGTCTGTGTAGTTCTTTACCTCACCTTCCATTCTAAATGAGAGCTTTGGTGGGTAGAGTATTCTTGGTTGTAGGTTCTTGCTATTCATCACTTGGAATATTTCTTGCCACTCCCTTCTGGCCTGCATAGTTTCTGTTGAGAAATCAGCTGACAGTCATATGGGTACTCCCTTGTAGGTAACTAACTGGTTTTTTTTTCTTGCTGCTTTTAAGATTCTCTCTTTGTCTTTTGCCCTTGGTATTTTAATTATGATGTGTCTTGATGTGGTCTTCTTTGGATTCCTTTTGTTTGGGGTTATCTGTGCTTCCTGGACTTGTAAGTCTATTTCTTTCACCAGGTAGGAGAAGTTTTCTGTCATTATATCATCAAATAGGTTTTCAACATCTTGCCCTCTCTCTTCTTCTGGCACCCCCATAATTCAGATGTTGGTATGCTTGAAGTTGTCCCAGAGGCTCCTTACACTATCTTCATATTTTTGGATTCTTTTTTCTTTTTGCTCTTCTGATTGGGTGTTTTTTGCTTCCTTGTATTTCAAATCACTAACTTGATTCTTGGGATCCTCTAGTCTACTGTTGAATCCCTGTATATTATTCTTTATTTCAGTCAGTGTATGCTTTATTTCTGACTGGTCCTTTTCCATTTTTTTGGCATTCTCACCAAGATCTTTGAAGGTCTCTCTAAGTTCCTTGGAAGTTTCTAGAAGATTCTTGAGTAACTTTATAACTGTGGTTTTGAACTCTACATCCAGGAGTTTGCTTTCTTTCATTTGTGACATGTTTCTTTGTCTCCGTATTTTGGCTGCTTCCTTGTGTATGTTTCTATGTATAGGGTAGCTGCTAAGTCTCGTTGAGTTGATAGAGTGGCCTTGTGAAATAGGTGTCCTATAAGGCCCACTGGTTCAGCCTCCCCAATCGAACAACCCTTTCACAGGGGTCACCTAAATATCCTGCATATCAGATATTTACATTACGATTCATAACAGTAGCAACATTACAGTTATGAAGTAGCAACAAAAATAATTTTGTGGTTGGGGGTCACCACAACGTGAGGAACTGTATTAAAGGGTCGCAGCATTAGGAAGGTTGAGAACCACTGCCCTAGAGCCTTGCCCGGCACTGGAGCTCAGAGCTAGCGGGAGCTTGTAAATTCAGTTTGCAATGCTGGCCTTTTAAGAGGAGCAGCTGGGTCACTCAAACGCAATCTGCACTGTTTTTTACAGTCCGTAATTCTTACAGCCCGTCGGGACTTCTGTACCCAGCTCTGGGACCCTGGGCTGGGGGTCTGGTGTGGGGCTGGGACTCCTTGCTCCTCCAGGCAGCCTCCAAAGAGGTGATCTCCCTCCCCATTAAAAAAGCGCACTCCCAGATGCTGGACCCGCACCTCCTACCAGTCTCAATGCGCTTTCTTCTTTACCTCTCCAGTTGTAGTACTTCCACGCAGCCAGCTTTCCCGTGGTTCTGGATGAGAGTTGTTCTGTATTTTAGTTGTAATTTTGATGTGGTTGTGGGAGGCAGCAAGTACAGGTGTTTACCTATGCTGCCATCTTGGTTCCTTCTAAATGTTGATTGTTGACACCTATGTATCCTGTACTCACCTATGGAAAGAAGCATGTTATCCAATTCTAGAGATTTCTCTGCTTTGCTTTCTCCCACCTCCCTAATTTCACCAATGGATTTCATGTAAACCCACTTATGTCTCCTCCTTTGATTGTAATTTATAAAACAAGGTGGAAAACGACCATTCTCTGAAGCATTATCTCAATCCATTGAGATTCTGGTTCCCAGCTGTTGTCAACAGTTTGGCTCAAATAACCTCACAAAAATTATTTGCAGGTTTGAATGTTTCTTACGTTAACATCCCATTGCATGTTTTGGCCTCTATTGTCAAATATTAATTGAACATAAAGATGTGGGTTTATTTCTGGGCTCTCTATTCTGTTCCATTGATCTATATGTCTGTTTTCATGCCAGTACCATGCTGTTTTGATTATTATGGTCTTGTGGTATAGTTTGATATTGGATAGTGTGATTCCTCCAAATTTGTTCTTCTTTCTCAAGACTGCTGTGGCTATTCAGGGTCTTTTGCGGTTCCATATAAATTTCTGGGATATTTGTGCGTGTTCTGTGAAATATGCCATTGCTATCTTCATAGGAATTGCACTGAATCTATAGATTGCTTTGGGCAATATGGATATTTTAATTATGTTAATTCTTCCTATCCATGAATACGTTATATGCTTCCACTTATTTATATCTTCTTCAGTTTCTTTCTTCATTGTCTTATAATTTCAACATCCTTGGTCAAAGTTATTCCTAGGTTGTTGTGGGTTTTTTAAATGAAATTATAAATGGGATTGTTTTCTTAGTTTCCCTTTATGATAGTTTATTATTGGTGTATAAAAAATGCAACTGGATATTTATTTTGTCTCCTGCTACTTTACTGAATTCATTTATCAGTCCTAGTAGTCCGTTGGTGGAATCTTTAGGGTTCTCTGGGTATGGCATTATGTCATCTACAAATAATGACAGTTTTATTTCTTCCTTTCCATTTTGGATGGCTTATTTATTCTTATTGTCTGATTGCTGTGGCTAGGTTCTGCCCAGTTTTTAAATGCATGGCTTGTTTTTGGTGTTGAGTTGTATGAGTGCTTTCTAAATTTTGGATATTAACCCTTTATCCGATGCCTCACTGGTAAACATGTTGTCTCATCCAGTGGATCTTCCCATTTTATTGCTTGCTTCCTATGCTGTACAAAAACACTTTTGTGTGATGTAATCCCACTTGTTTATTTTTCTTTTGTTTACCTCTCCTGAGACGCTATATCAGGACAAATATTACTAAGATAAATGTCCAAGATTTTATTGTCCATGATTTCCTCTAGGAGTTTTATGGTTTTGAATCTTATATTTAAGTCTCTTTTTAAATATATTTTATTGATTTTTTACAGAGAGGAAGGGAGAGGGATAGAGAGTTAGAAGCATTGATCAGCTGCCTCCTGCACTCCTCCTACTGGGTATGTGCCCGCAATTAAGGTGCATGCCCTTGACTGGAATTGAACCTGGGACCTTTCAGTCCGCAGGCCGACGCTCTATCTACTGAGCCAAACCGGTTAGGGCATATTTAAGTCTTTAATTCATTTTGAGTTTATTATTGTAAGGAAAAACCTGTTGAAAATGTTGAATTAGTTTGGTTTACTGATGGTTCTTACCCAGAAGATGAGACAAGCCACTGTCAAGCAGGCTACACAATAGTCTTTCTAAATAAAACCATTGAGACCAGTTTGATGCCTCAGGCAACTTCTGCTCTTGTCCATGTTTTCTAATAGGAGTTTTAGAGCATCGGCCTGCAGACTGAAAGGTCCCAGGTTCAATTCCGGTCAAGGGCATGCATCTTAGTTGCAGGCACATCCCTAGTAGGAGGTGTGCAGGAAGTAGCTGATCGATGTTTCTAACTTTCTATCCCTTTCCCTTCCTCTCTGCTCTATGAGCAGAGCTCTTTGTATTAATTGAGCTTGCAATTTGGCCAAAGGCAAAATGGCTAATATTTTTTTAATTTAAATTCTTTATTATTTAAAGTATTACACGAGTCTTCTTTTTCCCCCATTGACCCCTCCCTGGACGCTCCCAGCCCCCAGCACATGCCCTCACCCCCCTACTGTCTGTGTCCATTGGTTATGCTCATATGCATGCATACAAGTCCTTTGGTTGATCTCTTACCCCCTCACACGCCCTCCCCGACCACCTTCCCTCATAGTTGGACAGTCTGTTCGATGCTTCTTTGTCTCTGGTTTTATTTTTGTTCATCAGTTTATGTTAGGGATAACATTTATATTGACAGAAAGTAATATAAATTACCTTTTATAATATGAGCATACATAACATAATATAAGCATAATATAATATTATCTATTATTGGTGTTATTCATATTTTTGTGTTTTGGAAACAACGAGAATTCTCAACTTCTGGACAAAAGATAAAAAGCAGTTTTTCTGTTTTAGAACTCCTAGAGGTTATCCAATTCCTAAGTCTTTAGCAATCATAAAAGTCCCTGGACATTTAATGGCAAACACAAAAGAAAGTAGAGGTAATCATTTGGCTGACACTGCTGCTAAATTAGTAGCATTAAAACAATCTCAGCCCCTAATGGAAGCACCTGTGCTAGTTGCTGATGTAAGTGAAGATTTAAAAGATCATATTACGGAAGCACAGCATTTAGATGCTCGACAAAATAGAAAGTAATGGTTAGAACGAGGCTGTAAACTTGACCCTAAAAGAAACCAATGAATAGGTCCGAGTGGCTGACCCCTCCTCCTGAATTGCATATATCAGTGGTCGGCAAACTTCGGCTTGCGAGCCACATGCAGCTCTTTGGCCCCTTGAGTGTGGCTCTTCCACAAAATACCACATGTGGGCGCGCACGTACAGTGCGATTGAAACTTCGTGGCCCATGCGCAGAAGTCGGTATTTTGTGGAAGAGCCACACTCAAGGGGCCAAAGAGCCGCTTGTGGCTCGCGAGCCGAAGTTTGCCGACCACTGGCATACATCATACGTTACAATATGTACATGACTTAACTCACTAAAACACCGACAAAGTGGTTTTATGGGGAAACAATACTACTGTAAGCCATCTCTAAAGACAGCTTCCCAGGTATACAAAAGATGCCAAATCTGACCAAAGTGCAACCCTGGAAAGCCTATTCATAACTCTATGGGGCGTTTCCTCCTGCTTTTAGGACCCTTTTAGGTCTGGCAAACAGAATGTATTCAGTAGCCTCATTCTGAAGGATACCAGTCTATGTTGGTAATGATTTGTGTGCTTTCTCATTGAATAGAAGCATACCTATGCCACAGAACCACAGCCTCAGCACTAAGTAAAATATTCCTAGAAAAGATCTTCCCCTCCCCCGCTTGGGGAATTTTCTCAGAGCTCCATGGTGACTGGGGAACTCATTTCACAGGACAAATTGTGCGATCTGTTTGTAAGATCTGGCCAATTGTACAACATGCTCATTGTGCTTATCATTCCGTCTTCTGATCTTGTAGAATGGGCTGAGGTAATTAAAACTCAATTAGCACAACTCGTGGAGTCTTTTGTTTTTTAATGCTTTTTAAATAGATTTGAGAGAGAGAGGGAGGGAGAGGGAGAGTAAGAGAAAAAATCCATCAGCTGCCTCCTTCAAGCCCCCTCCCTGGGGATCAAGCCTACAACCCAAGCATGTGCCCAACTGGAAATTGAACCACCAACCTCTTGGTGCATGGGTCTATGCTCAACCACTGAGCTACACTGGCTGGGGTCAAGGAGTCTTTTAATCTACCTTGACCTAAGGTATTACTCAACCTTAGATCTCCCTTTGGCAAATATAGATCATCTCCATTTGAAATTATTACTGGAAGACTGATAAGATTAGATCAGGGAATCTATGAACCTGCACTGCTCAGCAGACCTCCTGATCTACTGTAGAGAATTTATAAGGACCCTTAAGTCTAATAGCTCATGGAGCAATCATTCTATAGCATGTTCCCAGGAGACAAAAATGTACATCATGATCTCTAATTCTAAGATAATGTCTTCTGGAAACACCATCTCCATAAAGGTGTCCTTCGGTCTCAATGGAGGAAGCCATATCAGGTATTACGTACTAAACCCTATGCTGCTAAACTTAAGGGTATTGATCATGCGTTCACATTTCTTACTTAAAAAGGACAGTCACACATGAATGGTCATCTCAGCCTATTGCAGATCTTAAGTTAAAAAATTTCTAAACAACCTGAGACCAACACTATAGTTCTCATTCCAGGATCGAAGCAGACAGCGTCTGATGTCCATGGCTCTCCCAAGTCCCAGACCACGCCAGTCACACATGATTCCACCCAGAAACCCTGCACTTGGTCTTCCTTTTGACCACCTTTGTTTCATTTACTGATTATATTGCTGTCATAACCTAAGTTTTGCCTGAACAAAACTCTTGAGAAAACATATTATCTTCAGATAAACATACTCAAATCTTATGTCTGCTTACTGAAATGACTACCCTATTCCCCCTTCAACAATCTTTTGCTACTGCCATCTAACAATTATCCAACAGCACCAATTTAATTGATTGTTGGATAGTCATCCAAGATAATCAAACCAGAAGTAGTGGCTTGGCCTTTAAGCCTTGAAAACTTACAAAACCTAATTGGACATAAAGCTGGATCTAAAGTCTCAAACCTCAGAAAGAGTTGATATGACCTTCCTGTAGCCAGATTCATTCATAAATGTTCCTCATCCCACAAGGGAATACCCATAAATACAATCTGGACTCTTACTGATAACTTTATCTGTTTTGAAAAAATAAATGGTTCAGCAAAATCTGGGATTTTGTCCCTTTGAAAATGTGTATCTACACTCTTTTGTATGATTCAGATGAGCATGAGTTCACAGCTCCGTGGGCATTAAGCAGCTACCAT